GAAAAATGCAAGCTGTTAGGCTCATGATGCAGGGACGCGAGAGCCGCTTACCCGAAGTTGAGTTCAGCAGCTCCTCGAGCAGTGTTTCCGCCTCTCCTGGGGTTTCCCCGTCTCCCACGGCTTTGACCTTCCGCTTCCTCTTCTCCACAGCGGCCCGTATAATCGGATCGAGGAACGCATTCACTACCTTCATCGGCGCCTTCGTTTTGTCCCCCATGATCTCCCAAATCGGCCATATGTGCCCGTATTGCTCGCGCTCCGCAACAAGTAGCATTGACTCGTTGAACGCCTCAATAAACTTGTTCGCGTCCGCAGAGGTGGATTGAAGAGGAGGGAAGGCGACGTTGTGCGCATAGGGCATGTTTGCCAGGAGACTGTTCACGCAGGTGCCGAAGAGGAATTCCGTTGCGGAGTCCATGGTGAAGCGGCCGATGAGGTCCTGAAAATCGATGGAGTAGCCCGCGCGGAGGCGGGATTTCATGACGGAGATGACAAGGTCCGCATGGCGGTCGAAAATGTCGAAATGGCTGATTTTGTCCTTGCTGAAGAATGGCTGAATTGATGCGTGAGCGACTACGCAGATGCGAGCGCAGGATAGGGGGACGCACGCGGGTCACGGCGCGGTGGAACTTCCACATTTCACCTGCAATGCGATGAGTGCAAATAAAGCTGGCTAGGGCCCAACCGACCATCGGAGTTGAACACACCGCTCTATGTGGCTGGTTAGTAGCTGTAGTTCATTGTATAACGATGTGCTAACACCCAAAACACTGTTCATCCCAAATTGGAATCGTCGACCTGGGAATAGTAAGAGTACACTCGACGACAAGATTGTACAACATGCCCTTTTCGTAGTTATTGAAATCCGTGGCAAGGATTTGTTTTATGTGCTCAGGCCACACCTAGTAATAGTGTTCCGGTCCTCGACACGTCGCCCAACTTTAGGGAACGCACCGTGAAAAGTGTATCAATCCAGAGCACCCGTATGTTAATAACAGGGCCATACTGTGCGAAGAACTCGTCGAATCCATCGCCTGCTGTGCGTCAGGACACACGATGGAACGCATACATAAGGTTGCCGCACCAGGGTAGCCGTGCACCCTTTTGTGCGCCAGCATCTGCATAAGGTCGATATTGCCGATGAGCTTACCCGGCACGCATGGCGCGAAGCGCGCGCCCATCGCCGCGGCCTCTGCGCGTTGACGACGATTATTGCGCCATATGCGGTAGACAACGTATAACGGAACACTGGTCGCCGCGATGACGATTATGGCCCATAGGGGAAAAGCGACGCCGGCACGCCGCCTGGCGTAAAGGATACCCAGGCTGAGCACAACGGGCATGCTGAGGACGCGGACGGTGAGGCGTCCGAGGAAGGCTACACCGGGAGAGACCATTGTGATAGTCAGGAGAGGCAGGGAACTCACCATGCGGTAACACGGAAACACGGATATGCAAAGTTCGGGCCGACATATAGCCGGTTTCAATGTTGTCACGTGATTCTTGTTGCCAACGGAGTCAAAATTCGATTTTAAAACTCGTTTTTTCAGCAATCTAACGGCTTGAATGGATTCCCTGTTCTCTATCTCTCCCCCAACACTTAGCGACGGGCGCTGCCCACAAAACACGGGACGCCGTGGTGCCCTGGCCAGTGGACGGCCGCCGGGGTTGCACAGGTGTGATCGGTATGCGACATCCTGCGAGTCAATGGCAGCTTCGGTTTACAGCGTCAAGCCGGAGCCTCTGTTGGGGTAATCACGAGCACAGGGCTTGGATGGTTCAAACGCGATACCGTATTCCGGATATGTACATGTCCAGTATTTATACGAAACATATTTACTTACAAAAATAGACATATCAAACAAGTAACCTCCACGAACATCGGCGTCCTAAATGCTGCGCGGCGCAGTGGGCAGGTTCGTGCTGTCGCTCCAATATCCCGGGGCCGGCGGCGGCGGAAATCACAACATTATATGTAATTAGGACTGTCATACCTGGAAACGCGCCATGACGGATGATTCACAAGTGCGGCAGAACTGCAATGATGCACGAGATGCGTTACACCGCTGGAAATAAAGCAGGCTCACCGGTACCTACCATTTCTCCCAAAACTCATGGTAACTGTTGAACAAACGGACTATGTCGTATGCCGGCACGGCTGTGAAGGACATCTATTCTGCTCCCGATGATCAAAAGTTTGTGACCCACTTTCAATGCGCCTGGCTGACATCATTTTGAAGACGGCAACTTGTTTCAATCCACTGGAAGGGTATACATTATCATGATGTCCCTGCCGAAAACATCATGATCAACTCTCGCGGGCTCGTCACGCTTTGTGGACCTTGATCAGGCAAGGTTTGTAGACAGGGGATGCGTCTATTGTTCCGACGTGGAGACGATCGGCCTGCTAGAGGCATCGATGGGTTACGAGATTTGTTCAAACCCTACTTCAAGTTCGGCCTACTCTGAATCTGAATAGTCCGACATACACTGGCATAGAGGCATAGTAGACCTGGCGTTGTGACCATTTTCACCGCTTAATGCCAGTGATCAGATACAAGCCCTTTGGAACTTTCCATCTGAACGTCTTGTCATGGATTGTAAGAGACTCGTATACAAGTGGACCTGCCCGCTAGAAGAGGATATTTAATTCAGCGCGCAGGTGCGTACAAGTTTCAGGCCAAGTCTTAGACATCGTACTGCTATCCCCGCGTATCCTGGCATCAGGCAATCTGACAAACCCATTCCATTCTATCATCCTCGGTGAGATCCTCCGGCGCAATATCTGATAGGGCAAAGTGGTCAGTTAGTGTGGAGAATGCCGAACGAGGGAACGTGCCCTTGAAGTCTGTTTGTCCACAAGCCGTTCGGCGATGATCCAATAGTCGTCGCCGCCCCTCGCACCCGTCTCCCAATCTGCTTGGCGATCCGCCACTGTGAGAAGAACGACTCGTGGATCGAATGCCGACGGCTGAAGGTTTGTGTTCAGGACACAGAATTTGAGCAGAGCCGGAGACGAGAACAGCATCGCAAGCACTTGGAGAGATTTGCAGTGCTCCAGGATAGCGGGGAAGATGGAACGGCTACATTCGGGGAGACTCGTGTCTTCCGAGAAAGAGAGGTGCGTGAGCCGGGGTATTAACGCGAACGACGCCCATTTCGCCCCTTGACGGTCAAGGTCGCCGGGAAGGTCGAGGTGCGTTATATGCGCGAAGAGCGGGTGACCGAAATCCCACCCACCAGGACACAGCCAATAGTTTTCGCGGGCGGAAAGGCGCTTTAAGGGAAATGTCCCGAGAAGCTCGAGGAGAGCAGCGTGACCGTCGCCCTTGACGCAGGAAACATCGAAGAGGGCTAGACTTGTGATAGCGTTGCAAGCTGCGAGTGCCGCGAGAATCTCCGCAATGGGGACACCAACAAGGCGGACATTGTCGGGGAAGAAAGATGCCGGCTTGGATTTAATGAGGCTGTAAAATGCGGGTACTGAATGCCGAAAATTCGTATTTGGTTTTCGTGCCGTCTTACGCGGGAGCCCGTAGATGGTGACCACTTTATGAAACAAAGGTTCAATCCTGAGAACAGGATTTCCTTTTAGTCTTGGGACACAAAAACCAAACTGGACAATGGGGACTTGCCATCTTTTAATGCGGCGGGCAACGAGCAGGAGCGCGGGAATACAATCCGTGTGGAAGATGGCCGCGCTCTCAAATATACACCTCTCAAGATCCTCTGGGAACGCCGGATACGCCCCTGGTGAAAACATGGCGGGATAGGACATCGAGGGAGTGGATAAGGAAAAGCACATGCACATGATGCAGAATCTGATTTGACACGGCGCTTTCCGGTCGCGTCATGGGTCACGAGTCCCAAACATGAGTCAAGTTTATTTGTGGACTCGTTCTATGTCACCTGTCGAAAAACTACAAGGCCCGCCCCCCGACGTCTTGGAGGTGTGGATATCGTTTTCCTATATACGGTGCTTAAGTAATTTCGTATTTTACAGTTGCTTCCTTCCCGTCTCAGTGGACTCGAGCCCGCACGCAGGCTTCACGACGGAACGCTCCGTGTCAGCGACGACTACGGTGCGCATGAAGTCCTCGTGCGTCGCTTTATTACTATATTACATAAGTTGATGGAGGCCCCCTACAAAGGATACATCCCGGATTTGCCCAATTCGTGCCCGTTTAAACTTCAAGCTTCAAGATTCAAGCTTCAAGTTTAACCTGGGTAAATTCGGGCCCGTTGGCACAGCGTTGGCTGTATGCTTATTGATGCGACAAGGCTCATAAGAAAGAGAGCTAGGCTGAGTGTGTGCGAGATCGAGGCGATCGCGGGAACGATGGGATACCTCGAGGTGTTAAGAGAACCCGTTGATGTTTCACTTGAGCGTGCCGGAGTTACCGAACTGGAAATGGCATCAGCCTCGATGCAAACAACTCTTTTCCTTTTCCTGTCCCGCGATGCCGCACCAACGCGCAAAGCGCTCCATGTGAGGAGCAACGTATCCAGAAGTGCGTGTCACCAGCCCTCGCCATCTTCCGCCTTCGTTCTCTTCACGCATCTACTCACCTTCGACATACATAGAGGCCGACCTGTCGCCGCGCCTGCGCGCTGACGGCGACGCCCTCTCGTCGGAGCCCCTGCCCAAGTCGTTTGCGTGCGCAATCAACGCGGCGCAGGTGTGCGCTCACTTCCGCTTGAAGCGCAAGCTGCAGGAGCAGGAGGACGCTCAGGCTGGCGATGACAAGAAGACGAAGCGCCGGAAGCTAGCGTCCTTCCGCAGTAGTCACTGCACTGATCATCGGCGGGACTCCGCATACAATTTTTTCCAGTTCTCCCCGCGTAGCCATGTATGGCCAGGTACGATAACGGTAGAAATTCAACTCAACTCCCGGTGACCGCGAAACTGTAGTGCCTGGTGCTGAAGCGTCAATGCAGATGATTGGTTTATTGGGAAAACTCCCATGGCTACCAACCTCAAATCTGATCCCAGTGTCATTGCTTTGGTGGGGTAGTGGTAACGCGGGTTGCCCTGTTGTAGATGCGCAAGCGGAATATTGTTGACCCGCCGGGGGTTCGATTCCCCCCCAAAGCACTGTCGTCGTAGAAGCTCTTTTTCTTCCTGCTGCATCGCAAGTACATTACTTATCGCTAGTTGCACTGTCAGAACACAAGGCGCCGTCAATTTTACTTTTGCTCCTGCAGTTTTCTATCCATTTCTCAGTTTTCAACCGTTTTGGCTGGGCCCGGTACCGTTCGAATCGCCTCGCTTGCTCGCACATGTTGATACCAAAATCTAAGGATGGGTTACGCGGATTTGACCGAAAAATAACTAAATTCATAAGCCGGTCTCGCACACTTCACCATCAGTAAATCTTCAGTCTCGCAGCAGGTTGGACGAATCGGAACAGTCAGTGTTCTGTGATTTGTCTGCGATACACGCTCAGAGTAACCTTCCGTCCAAATCGAGACTGGGCTGGACGGTGCATCTGGCGTTGAATCCGGATTGGCGTCCTCGCTATAGCACGTCGTAGGGTAGAGTCTGCAACGGGAATTTACTGCGTCTTTTGAGCTCCGATTGTTCAGAAAACATGGTTACTGAGCAATTTGTGTCTCAAGAGACCATTTTCTATCGGTGAAAATTTTTGAATTAAGACCCCAGCGACCCCCCTTCCGTACCCAATATTGCAGCCCAATGTTCCAGCTTTCTCCGGCCCGTACCCCTTGGTCGACCCGCCAGGGGATTCCTCCCAAAGCAGTTCATCAATGGTCAACATACTCTTCTTTGTTCCACCGGTTTTTTGGCGATTTGTAATTGTACTATCCCTCATACATTCTTACTTCCATTTCAATCTTGAGAACACCCAGGGAGCTGGAGTCATATGACAATGCCGGAGTTGCCGAACTGTACATGGCATCAGCCTCTGATGCAAACAACTCTTTTCCTTTACCTGTCGCGATGCCACACAAACGCGCAAAGCGCTCCATCCGTGAGGAGCAACGAGTCCAGAAGTGCGTTTCACCAGCTCTCACCATCTTTTGCCTTCGTTCTCTCCACGCAGCCACTCACCTTCGACATACGTAGAGGCGCCGACCTGGCGCCGCGCTTGCGCGCTGACGGCGACGCCCTCTCGTCGGAGCCCCTGCCCAAGTCGTTTGCGCGTGCAATCAACGCGGCGCAGGTGCGCGCGGACTACCGCTCGAAGCGCAAGCTGCAGGAGGAGGACGCTCAGGCTGGCGATGACAAGAAGACGAAGCGCCGGAAGCTAGAGACGGCCACGCAGATCCGGCCGGGCGAGACCTTGGCGCATTTCAACAAGTGCGTGTGCCTCCCTCGCCGTCGTCAGCTACCTGATGATTCCTGTACAGGCGCATCGAAGCGGATATGCGCCCGCTCGTGCGCTCCGCCGTGCAGACCTCGCTCGCTGCCATACGCGCCCTCAAGAAGGATACATCCGTGTCCGCCTCGAAATCCGCGAAACCCTCCGACTCTAGGCCCTTGGAAGGCTCCGCGCCTGTCGCACCCGCTAGCAAAGGCAAATCCAAGCCGACTGCAGAGCCCGAGCCAGAGGACAAACACGCCTCTCGGCCGAAAGAATTTGCGCGCACGTCCACGTCCGCGCCGCGCCGGCTCAACGACATTGCGACTGCTCCGCCCGATCTGTCCTCTCTGACGCGGAGGGTGCAGTCCAAGTCCAAGTCGAACGCGGCCGCGCAAGGGAAGGAGGCGAAGAACACGGGGAAGGCGTCGGTTCTCTCCCCCGCGCAGCAACTTCAGATGGCGGCGGCGCGCGAGGAGGCGATTAGCAGGTATCGGGAGCTCAGGGCGGCGAGACACTCGGGTGGGGACTGAGCAATGGCTCGGGCTGGTCTGGTCATCGTGTCCGCGGTCAGTCCGAGGACGGGTGCCCGCGGTCAGTCCGAGGACGGGTGCGTTGCGAGATAGCGTACCACGGTCGCCTACGGAAGCCGGGAGACAACTCTGTGGGACGACGTTTATCTTCCGTTTCTGCTGTATTTCCCGCACACTTGCAGATTTCGCGCAACTATGACGCCCTTGGATTTATTCCTGTTAATGGATCTGGCGTCGCAGTGTGGAAGAATTCGACGCAAACCTGTGCTGATGTTTTGTAAACTGCACGCGGCGGCGGCTAGACTTTGAATTCGGAGCTCCAGACACGAAGCACCACCACCGCCGAAATGGCGCGGAGCCCACCGTCGCATTGCGTGTAACGCAACCTGCGTACTCGCTCGATCACCGTAACTAGCTCGTTCAGAACTGGGCCATGTGGCTTCGCCGGACGTCATTTGTGCGCAGCCTGCAAGATTGAGCGGGCAATTAGCGTACTCCGAGCGTGCGTGTTACATGGACGAGCAAAAAGTGACCGTTAGCAGCATGGAAGAAACTACAGAATGGTAAGTCAGTGAACAAGATGCGTACAAGCCAACTGACCTCGAGTCTTGCCAGGCAGTTCGAGTTCATGTCTGTGGCACATGCACACGATTGCGATTCTGGGTACGCGATTGTAATTATTAGGGCTACAGTGCCCGAGGCCGTTCCTGTCGCCCCGCCGTCAATCGAGTCCGGTTCCGGAGGGGATCACTGATCCGTCGGCGACTGTCATCGGTGGCGATGTTCACGCAGATCACTGCGCATTCTGTCTTAGTGACTCGATGTAGTGACAGACACTGGCACATCCCGTTGGGAGGCGGTTCGGTGTCTTGCAAGACGGTATCCTTCGTAATCAATCCGACATGAAATCTTTGTCGAGGTATGTCTTTTCTTCCCCACGAATGAATAACTTGTGAACTGACGCGACCGTACGCGTGACGATCATGCGCCCCGTCCAAAGCAGAAAAACAGACAAAGAGCCAATGAAAAGGAATAGGGATCGGCCGGCGAGCACGAAAAATTGAAACGCCGGAAAACTACAGACTTGCATCCGCAGCAAACTAGTGATACTGATCTGCTATACGGTATATCGCTGGTAAACCCTGCGACGTCAAAGCATAAACTCTTTTACAGCTTTGCTACTCGTTTAAGAAACCTGCCGACTGCGCAGCGCTCGGGGCTCAACGTGCTGCGCGCGTGCGTGTGCCTGTTCATGCATATAGGGAACCGAAAGACTTCCGAGCTAACTAGTCGGAACTGTGGAAATATCCATGTGCGTATATGCGCATATTCAGGACGCGGGCAACGTGTACTGGCCAACGGAGAAGGCTCCGGATCCCCTTCCCATCACCGACGGAACGAGATGCTGTGCTGCATCACCTCCGGCACACACGTGACTCAACGACCTCTGCGCAGCGCAGCGACCACAATAGGTAGCGCTATGCAGGGGCAGAGGTGACGTCGGAAGCTATCCACACCCGCGAGGTTCGTATAAATATCGGCGCGCCAGCTTGTTAATCCAGAATGACGGACGTCACAGGGTATGGAGAACGGTCGGCATCGCCGCTTCTTCCAGTCCAACGTGGGCCAAAGGCGTGTACAAATTGCAGGTACTCAAATATTCCGCATAAAATAGAACGTTCTCATTCTGACTTTATTTTTAGGCGGCGAAAAATTGTGCGTCCCCTCGCAATTGGTGCTCACTCAATTATTGAATCAGGGGTAGAAATGCGACGCTGCACGACCGGTGTGCAATCAATGCCGCACACGCCCGCCGCGGTCCAAACAACCATGCGAGTATCCACGGCCGGAGGGCTACGTTTACGAATCGCCGACTCAGATGCTCGACACGATCAGTGCGCTGCGCGCCAGGATCGAGGAGCTCGAGTACCTCGGTGCATCAGATCCGACCAACGTATACCTCAGCGAGCCGTACAGTCAACCGCAGGCGGACATTCTTAGTGCGCTTGGTGTGGATCGCACGATCCTGAGCTGACGACGTGACAGATTTGGGCGGCTTGAATTTGGCGTCAGGGAGAACTACACCGACGCAAATGCTGGTAATGGCCATGTTTTCAGGGAATCGTAGATCACGCTGACGTGCACATACTCCGCAGGAACCTCCTACTAATATTATCACGACTCTGTTCGTATTTTGGTCTACTGCGCCCCCTGTCGCAAGTATTCACTGCGTTCTCTAGTCTTGACATATTCCTCACCCGCTTTGTCCAAAGCGGTATCTTCTTTCTCGACGCCGAGCGCTTCCGCCAGGCCGTCCTCATTCCACTCCCCTTCGGGCACCGCGACCGGCCCTCCCCCGCCCTGCTCAGCGCGGTTTACCTCTGGGGAAGCGTCCTCTCGCAAGGGCACGTCCCACCACACTCCCCATATACCCCCGCCGCCTTCATCGCATGCATCCTGCAGAACATACCACAAGACCTCGCGAGTGCCACCGCTTCGCACCAGCGGCTGCTGGACACGATCCAGGCGGAGGTGCTCCTCGCGTTTTACTACCTGTACGCCGCCTCTCCCGTACCGGGGCGGGCACACGCGGCCGCCGCCGCGTCGCTCGCGCTCGGTGCGAATCTCCACACGATCCGCGCGCCATCGCCAGTGATGCAGACGTCGTACCCGCCGTTTTCCTTGGCAGGTCCCGTCTTCCCACCCGCGCGCAACGCCGTGGAAGAGGCACAGCGTATCCATGCGTTTTGGGCAGTGGTGATCATCAACAACTATTGGGTTGGCACGGAGGGCTCGCCGAGTGCGGTGCCGTACAGCATACCGGTGGATACACCTTGGCCCGGCAGCTCACAGGTGTGTCTTGTGCGTCATTTGAGTGTACAGCATCTTGACATGGGCGGTGCAGAGCGGGTCGACAGTCACCAAGTTCCTCGCTGGCAACGACTCGCACGGGTCTTCTTCTGTGGCACTGCTCGCGAAGGCGTCTATCCTCTTGGAGCGTATCATTGCATTTTCCGCGCGTACAACAGGTGCGCCCGTCCCGCGCTTCTTTCTTTAATGCGATCGTTCACACTCAACACAGCGGTGGGCCCGCCGGATCCCACCGCACTCGCGTCGCTCGACCGGCGCCTGCACACCTTCCAAGCCGCCCTCCCGCCGCTGCCCGGCGTGCAGATCCTCGTGCTCACACATGCCCTGGTCGACTGCGCGATCCTGCGCCTGCACGCGCCGCACACCCGCGC